TATAAAAGGTTTGCTGAGACATGAACTCTGCACATGCACAGAGGCTAGATCAGCTTACAAAGAGAGAAAGGAGGGGGGGAGAGAGGAGGTTTGGAGAGGTGGGCTGCAGGGAGTTCAAAGCACTCCCACTGTGAGTTCCTCTCTTGAGTAGTTTGCCTCCCCAATGGGGATTTAACAGTTTTTTTTTGTTTGTTTGTGTATATGTCTATGCATTTTAGGAACAGCATTTCCTGGCAGACTTCTCACATGAAATAATTTTCTCTTTTAACAGGATATGTGAACCCCATTAACAAAGTATTTGTCCCTTCTTTTCTCCCACAGCACAAATGATAATGAGGGGATGCAAACAGTGATTTAAATACTCTAAAAAAAGTAATTGCATTTGTATTTCTTTTGTCTTTCTTCCCTTAAAGCCAAACAGTCACTTTCTTTCTGTTCAGCAAAACAAGTCTGAATCCCTGCTATATTAGTTGATTTTCCTCTATCTCTGACACTTTTTTAGGTTACAAATAATCTGTTTTTCATTTATTAATCAGTTTTTCATTGGGTTGTTAGAATGCCAAAACAGATTACTTCAGGTTACTTCAGGTTGTTGTTTTTTTTAAAAATGTGTGTCTTAGCATTTAATTATTTTGGTTCCTCATAGGTCATTGTGTGTGTGTGTGTGTGTTTTACTTTGGGGACATGTCCATCACATGTTGAAAGTCATTTTCATCAAGTTCTACTTATCAGATAGCACATGCTGAATTTGAACCTTTTTCCCATTGTTTTCCCATTTTTTTCAGTCCAGTGGTAATCTGTGTGGTTTTGATAATATCTTATTATTATTTAATAATAATTCTTTTCTAAATTTGATGTCTTTGTGTCAAGTATGTTTTCATCTGACTGGTAATCTAATTTTTTGCTTTCTTTTTTATTTTTTAACCTTTGTTGTATTTTTTACAGTTCTCTTTCTATACACGTGGAGTAATTTTTTATGTAATAATATGGGGGGAAAACAACAAAAACTAAGTGAAGGAGAGCAAACAAACTTAGCAGATAATAACAGTAATTATATGAAAATGTGATAATAATATTAAAATGAGTAAAATGCTTAACATGCTAAGATTTTATTATTTGCAGCTAATAACTCAAGGAGATTGCGGGGGGGGGGGCTTTTGCCCCTTCTTTTTCTAACTGTCTTTTAAGTCCCTAAAACCCCCGCCCCCTTACAGGATGTCACTTCTACAGATGTGTTACTACAGACCTATGATGAAAAAGCTTCGCCACCACCTGCAGCAACAGACACCAAAGTTTTCAAAGTGCCCACAGCTATCTTCTTTCAAAGGATATAGACTGACGGGGGAGTGGGGCTGACAAAGGGGGGAGGAGTTGAATTGCAAGGACATTTTCTCACCTTTGAACCTCAAGACTGTGCTCCAGCATTGAGAAGATACATGTGTAAAAATATCACAATTGTCTCAAGATATGCAACTGATATTTAATTAGTTTGTTTTGTATTATGTGTTATTACGTAGGAATGTTGAAATGTGTCTGACAGTGTGTTATTTCCACAAAGGGGGGGCTATTTGTGTGTGTAATTGTTTTTGTTTAATGTCTTATTCCTTACACCCCAGTGGAAGATTCTCATACATTTTATGTGTTCTAATAGACCAGGCTAATTGTGTAGTCCAATGTTTAGATTGTTCCACCTGGCACTATGCCAACCTTCCCTACCCATTTTTAAAAAAAATGTGCCAAAACTTGCTTTACCAAGGAGAAGCTTCTAAGAAACATGAAGGTGGATATGCTTTGGTTTAGCAGGAATGATCCCTTATAGAGTTAAATTGACTTATTTGGACAAGTGCCCTTTAAGAATGGGTTTGTTTTAACAGATTGGTTTGAAAAGTTGAGAACCATGGGGCAAGAAAAAAATTCAAATTGGACTCAGTTTGAATTGGGCAAGTGTATCCAGGCTGCAATTAGCTTTTTGGTCCTTTAAGTGCAAGTGAGCAACTTCCCATGAGTGCAAGACCACAGCCTATAATAAAATCCCATAGAAAGGCCAAGGCCAAGGCATCTCCCTCACGAGATGTCCAAACCTGTGCCAGCTATGGTGAATGCCAGGCGACATGGTTAAATGAAAGCCCCGAGGGGATTCAACAGACAGGATGTGTTGCTGTAGCACTATGTCAGTGTGAGACCACAGAAGAGCTAGCTTGACACCTGAGAAACACACAAAAATGGCGAAGGACAAACACCAACTGCATTTTTCAGTCAGTAGTGGACCTTCCTGCTAAATGTAAAGCATAGCCACTATTGAGAAAATGTTTCTCCCAAGAGCTAGAATGCCACAAGTAATTTAGTAACAAAATGCAACATGTGTTATTTTTATATGATATATTTATACAAAGGCATCCATTTACAACATACGATGTTATTATTTGTGGGGCAAAAATTTTTAAGAAAAATTCTAGCCCCAAAGGGGGGATAATGTGATAGGAATTTTATGGTCTTAGATATATGGCAATGTTCATAACCGCACATACATAGATCAACACAGGAAGGCCAACCTGGAACCATTTTGATTCCCAAACTGACCAAATCCTTTCTCTGCAAGGTTAAACTGGAAAAGCCTCCCCATTGTCTCTTTCCTCACAAATCCTGTCTCAAGGATATGTCTGTTTGAATAAGGTGTGAGCCTGTGACCTGGCCCAGGAAATAAGTATTTTACCACTACAAAAGAATGGCCAGGCTCCCCGGGAAATCCAATCAAGTAACTTGCCAGACAGGAGATAAACTGTGACAGGAGAAAAACAACATTTAAATTTCTGTGATGTAGGTGGGATGTATCTGAGGGGTGGTCTTAGGTTACACCCCTTCTGTGATGTATGTGTAATGTTTCTGGGGGTGGTCTTGATCTAGAGAATGGGAATTTCAAAAGTCTTTATAAGCCCTTGCACAGCATTTTTGTGGGTCCTCTTCCTCTCCTGCGTGTGAGGGGAGCACCCTGTTGCAACAGATCAATAAAGATCAGGCTTACTAGCTGCTTTGCTTCTCAATATTCTCTGGTTGGCCTCTGTTATTTTCTCCTACCAATAGGAACCCACGTAAGGACTCTATTTGGGCTCTTGGATACCCCATAAGGGAAGAGGGCATTATTTTTATTTACAACAAAGGCCAACCTGGAACCATTTTGATTCCTAAACCGAGCAAATGTTTTCTCTGCAAGGTCAAACTGGAAAAGCCTCCCCATTGTCTTGTCCTTCACAAATCCTATCTTAAGGGTATGTCTCTGTTTGAATAGGGTGTGAGCCTGTGACATGGCCAGGAACTAAGTATTTATCACTACAAAAGAATGGCCAGGCTACCAAGGAAATCCAATCAAGTATCCTGCCAGACAGGAGATAAACAACAAGAGAAAAACAACATTCAGATGTATCTGAGGGGTGGTCTTAGGTTACACCCCTTCTGTGATGTATGCATAATGTTTCTGGGGGTGGTCTTGATCTACAGGGTGGCAATTTCAAAAGTCTTTATAAGGCTTTGCACACCATTTTTCTGGGTCCTCCTCTCCTGCGTCTGAGGGGAGCACCCTGTTGCAACAGATCAATAAAGATCAAGCTTACTAGCTGCTTTGCATCTCAATATTCTCTGGTTGGCCTCTGTTATTTTCTCCTACCAATAGGGAACCTATGTAAGGACTCTATATGGGCTCTTGGATACCCCATAAGGGAAAAGGGTCGTTTTTTTGTTTACAACAATGATTACATTTATAGCACACCTATTTCTCCAAGCAGCTCAGGCTGGTAGACATGGTTCTCCAACTTCCCATTTTATCTTCACAACAACCCTGGGAGGTAAGCTAGGCTAAGAGTGAGTGTCTGGCCCAAGATCAAACACTGAGCTACACGGCTGAGTGGGGATTCGAACCCTTGTCTCCCAGTTCACAGGCCACCAACTAGCTCTGTCTAGTTGACATCTGCTTTATATACCATTTGACTGCAGAAAACCACAAAGTGGTACCATGCACACACAGGAAACACTGGGCTGCATGGGACGTGTTGGCAATGCCCCCCCCAATATATTATTATATATTGATCTCATGCATTTATGAGCTTTTTGCAGGGGGTGGGAGTCAGATAAATAACTTCATTGTTGTGGCTTAAGTGGGGCAGTCCACTGATCATGGGGATACACAGTATTGGGAATCCCCATTTATTTGGGGGCTCAAGGAGTATATAAGCAGCTGCAGTAGGAGGAGAGGAAAGAGCAAGAATAACAGCTGTGAGTGGAGAAGGCCCTTTTCCCAACCCTTTGAAACACCTGGGAAACTCCACAAACTGGGTGCAACTGAATGGGACACAGCTGTGGGCCGCCTGAGAAAAAAAACCATCCACCTGGGCGGGGTGGGGGGTGGGCTGCCTATAAAATGGTGAGTCTTGCATGAGAGTCACTAGATGTTGGCTTTTTCCAGGCACAGCAACTCTCGTGGAGCTTCTGTAGGTGAGTTGAGAGTTTTCTGGACCCTGTGTGAGATCCCAGAGGCTGAGTGGGTGGGGTGTATCAGAAGGAAAACGGATATTGTCTCATATGCATTAGTAACTTTGTACTGCGTCTGAAGAAGTGGGCATGCACACGAAAGCTTATACCCAGAACAAACTTAGGTGCTACTGGATAATTTTCTAATTTATTTATTCCGACTGCGTCAGACCAACACGGCTACCTACCTGAATTTGTACTGCGTGTAACTGTATTTTTGCAATGTTTTTGTTTAAGCCGTCTGTTGTCGCTTCGTCATTATTTTTTGTACACCGCTTAGAGATATTTTTTAAAGATATTACAGAAACGAAAAAATCAATCGGCATAGATTTCTGGAGCTGAGACCTTTGTAGCAAATATCGAACTGGGAACAAATCAGCACCTTTAGGACCTTCTGCTGCCCCCTAAGCTGTACCCCTAGGAGAACCCCCCACCTCAAAGCCCCCGCCCCTGGCTTTGCCACGTGCGCTCTGACCCCCTCCTTTGCAATTGCAAACGGGCTGGGCAACCCCGCCCACGGATCGAATCCTGCCTTGGGGCGGGGCTGATCCTGCATCTTTCTCGGCGTGTGCGGGGGAGTGAGGCCGGTGCGCCCCAGGGCGCCTTCCTGTTGGGGGGGCGGCGGGAGGCTGCTACTAATAAGAGAAACGGGTGCCGCTGGTGAGTTGCCCAGGAACGGGTCGAGTTACTTGTTTCCTGAATTTACACCCCACCTTTTACCTCTAAGGGGCCCGGAGTGGCACACCTGAGTCTCTCAGTCCTCGGTTCATCATCATCATCACCACAAGAGTAAACTTTCCGAGAGGTCATGATTGAGGTGTGATTTTAAATGAAAACCTCATTTCCCCCCCAATTCGGAGCCTGCAATTTGCAGAGAGGAGCTGGCTAGAGACCCCAGACTCTAGTCTAGAAAATCCTTTTAGCCACTGTAATGGTCAGTAACTTTTCCTCCAGGGAGTTGTCTGATTTCTCACACCTGAGAAAGTTTTGTCTCTCCGCTCTCTGATTGTGCTTGTATAAAACAAACCTTCTTGGTGCTGTTCCTTCCTACCAAATAATTTGTCAGAAGCTGAGATTTGAACCCAAGGCCAGAATTCTATAACTCGCTGGTGCCTGTGCTTTTGTTCCTGTCTGCCCTTCCTAGTATCGATATAAAATAAAAAGGGACCCAAACAAACCACATTTTAAAAACAGTAGTTTCACGGGCCACGCTTTGTTCAGATAATTCTGTTGGCAACTTCCGTCTTCAGAGCCACAGTCTAATTTACTAGATAGTCCATTTTAGTTAAAATGGTTAGAAAAAACCTAGAAGTTCAAGCATGGTGTGAAGAAAGCAAATAGAAATAAGCTTTTCTCCCAGTGCAAGAACTTAGAATCATCTCTTATCTTTTGCACACATACCCAGAGAGAGAATGAGAACCAGTTATGGCACTAGGGCCTGGGAGACATGGGTTCAGATCCCCACTCCGCCATGAAACTCACTGGTTAACCTTGGGGCAGTCATTCTCAGCCTGACGTACCTACCTCACAGGGTTGTTGCAGAGATTAATGGTTCCTTGTTCCCCACAGAAGAGGCCACACGTGGACCAAAAAGGTGAAGTGGTTCACAGCCCTGCTGAAGAGGAGCCATGAAGCAGGAAAGCTTTTCAAGCTCTCCAGCAACCCCCTTGGGACCTCGCAAGACTGGCAGGTACTTGGGGGGAGGTGTCCCTCCTCACAGCATCTACATCCCTGCGATAATCGGCTTTTAATGTTTAATAGGTTATTGTATTTTAGTGTTCTGTTGGAAGCCGCCCAGAGTGGTAAGTAAATAAATAAATTATTATTATTATTATTATTATTATTATTATTATTATTATTATTATTATTTATTTTATTATTTTATTATTATTTATTATTTATTATTAATCGTGCCAACTTCTGGAGGCAGGAATAAGACTCAATTCTTTTTTTGCAGATAATACAACTGGGGAACTGGAAATTGCCTAGCCTAGGCCAAAGAGAGGGTGCACTCCTAAGCTTCTGAGAATGTTTTGTTTTATTTTTCTACTTTGTAAGATTTATATACCACTTAATGATTTTTTAAAAACTGGTTTACAAAGAGAATAAGACACTAAAATTATCAGTAAAAGCAACTCTTTAAAAGGGAAAATCCAAACAGTTAAAAAAACCTGTTGACTAGTCACCCAATTATAGAATTATAGAGTTGGAAGGGACTCCCAAAGATCCTCTAGTCCAACCCATTACAATGAACCACAGCTAATATTTCTCCCTCCCCTCCTCAGCTCTTCTATCCCTGTGCTTGGCCATCCTCGATGCTGCCCCTGTCCTGCTCAGAGAATAGCCCTGCCTTGGCACAACAGCAGGTAAGAACTAGTTGTTTCTTCTTATTTGCATTGATAATAACATCCAGGCACACGAGAGTCCACTGTTGCCTCCCAGCCAGGCAAAAGCACTCAAGGGGGTGAAGCAAGGCTGGGATTGAACTTGGGATCTTGCACCTGGGTCTGGCTGGCAGTTTGTGGGGTCCTAGCAAAAAAAAATCAACCACCCCAAAGTTGATCCAACAAGCCTGAATCCTGCCCCGCCCTGCTGGACTGGCGCAACTCATTTTCTGCAGTGTGTTGGGTGGGAGGAAGGAGGCTTGCGCCACTCAGCCGGGTGGTGGGGGTGCTGCTCCTTTTTCTCGAAAGGGCTCTCTGTCCGTGTTCTACCTGACGGCACTCTTCTTCTTCGTCTTGGAATGTGGCCCTCTCAGCGGCCATTAGCAGAGCAGGAATGCTTTTAAGGACATCAATAATGAATGTGCTACCTCTGTGTACTCTGGGCTGCTGCTGTTTTCGTGTGGCTCTGGCATCTTTTTGCCACGTTGGCTGGTGGAAAACGAGGAAAGTTGGCTGCGCTGGGTAGCTTAGGGCAGTTGCCTCCCACGCTGGGGGCTCGCAGGAAGGGCCACTCCCTATGTCTGGATCATGAAGAACAGGCAGGTAGGTAGGTGGCAAGGGAGCCCGCCGTCAGTGCCACGTTTCCTTGGGGTAACAGCAGCACCGAGGATTGGCACGTGGCACGCAGCCTAGGTGAATCTGGTGCATCACACAGATCCAGCCCCTCCAGGGGTTCAGAGCCCGCCAACTTCACAAGGCGGTTGCCGTCTTGCAAAGTGGCCTGTAAGTCAAGCAACGAGGGGTGGCATTTCTCGAGTTTTAAAAGAACAACGCTTGAGGCTGTTGTGAGTGCTAAGCTACGGGCCCGCTGTACAATCTCGTGGGGACGAGTTATCTGTGGAAGGGATGCCCCTAAGATAGCATGGGAAATGAGAAAAGGGGGAGCAGATTGTCGTTTACACTCTGGAATTTGGTCCTTTTAACATGCTTGCATACTTACCTTCCCCATTTTCTCATCCATTTTCTCTAGGAATTGAAAAGAAAAGGGCGGCGATGGAGGGGAGATCTTGCTTTTTAATAAGCCTTCCACTGATCCCTTCCTGCCTCCCCTTGTGCTGGATCCAAAACACTATGTCCTGCAGTTGCAAAGACCTACACTCTCCATCCGTTGCATCTGTGGAAAACAGTGCCAGGGAACTCTTTTCAGGTGGTTCATAGTCTAAACAGAACCACTTTCGACATTGGGGTCTGCTAAGGACTCCAAGATTTCTTGTAACTATTTTGCAAAGCTTGTTTGCAGAGGAAGGCTTCGATCGATCGTTTGATAAGCTGTCAAGTTTCAGCTCTCATTGATGGGAATCTGCTCAGCTGCCTTCAGAGGTTCCACCTTGACAGAGGAGTGTTCCAAGCCTAACACGAGGAGAACAAGACCAACATAAATGGCTTTCCTTAAAGAATCTTGGGAACTGTAGGTTCCGGATTGTAGCTGTGAGGGTAAACTACAGTTCCCAGGATTCCCCGGGGGAAATAATGTGATTTCAGTGTATGGTGTGCCCAGCAGCTAGCACGCCCCAAGCCACTCTGCTCTCTTTCCTGTTGTGGAACTTCTGCTGTGAGCTGAAATAATGGAAATGGTGTCTCTTTGGAGGCAAGAGAGAGGGAGGGGCATTTGCCACATGCCAGAGACCATAGAAATGTAAGATTGCTATATGGCCTTTGCAGTAATTTTATCAAATTATTTACTTTTTAAGCAGGATTCTAGATCACAAGGTCCATTGAAGGTTTTATTTGCTTAACTCAAATGTGAGGCCCTCCAGATGTTCTGGGCTACATCTCCGATCATTCTGGATCGCTGGCCTTGCTGGTTTGGGCTGATGGGACACCAACATCTGGAGGGCCAGCAGTTTCATCTTAACTTTTTCTCTTTTAATCTTTTTTTTTGTAATTTTCAGTTATATACATTTCAATATTTTTACAGTCATTTAAATGTTTCAAGACTCTACTTCCTTCCTTGTCTTTCTGTGGTCCCACTGGTAATCTTCACCATCTTAAGTGTTTCTCAATGGGATATTTGCCTCCTGCTTGGACCTTCTGTTATAAAGGAATAATTACGAATAAAATTTCTTTGAAAATGGCTGCCTCTCTTTGCCTGGGTGGTATTGTGGTTGCTGTTGTTGGTTGGGATCTGAGCCTGGGTATCTTTTGCACCAAGCACTGGATTTTTTTGCCCTTTCCCTTCCCTTATTTTTTTTAACTTTGCTAGGACTAGGCTTGGATGCCTTGTAAAATATATTGCTGATGAGACACACAGACAGACACAGACACACACACACACACACACACACACACACACACACACACACCTTAATTTGCCCAGAGATGCCTACACATAGAAATTAATCAATGCATTTTTTTATGCAAAAGTGTGGGTTTTTTTAATTGCCCTCCTTTCAAACCTATAATTGGAGACACAGAGAGACTTCATGCAATTTGTCTTCAGGACATATGTAGCAGGGAAAACATGAATGGAACAGTATTCAACCTGCTTAAACATTTTTTTTTTGGGGGGTGCTATTTTAATGGAAACCTAATTCTCATTCCCCCAAAACAGGGGTCCTTTGAAATTTGTACTCTGGATTTAGGTCTCCCACAACAGTGTGTATAAAACTAGAGCCAGGGCTTTTTCAGCTGTGGCTCCGATCTGGTGGAACGCTCTGTCACAAGAGACTAGGGCCCTGCGGGACTTGACATCTTTCCGCAGGGCCTGCAAGACAGAGCTGATCCACCAGGCCTTTGGTCAGGGCACAGCCTGACTCCCTCCTTTGGCAATATTCACAGAATCTCTAGCCCAATGGTTGCCATCAATTTGATTTGAATTAATTTTATAATGATTTTAGAATGTTGTACTATTTATTGTTAGCCGCCCTGAGCCCGGCTTCGGCTGGGGAGGGCGGGATATAAATAAAATTATTAAAAGTTATAAGTTACAGGAAATGACATACAAAAAAATGCATTTTATTACAGATTATTTGCAACAACAAAAAAAGTGTACAGTATTAGGCAACATGCCCCCTGAAATCCTGACAAATTTTTGTGAGGACTTGGAAATGGTAATTGTGAACTATTTTGCAGTGTATGTCTCCAAAAAGAGTACAGTAATGCATGACTGTATGCGATTCCCCTAATATATTGAATTGTTTTAGTGGAAATTGTGAATTTGAGGATTTGAACAAAAATTGTAAACTGATGTGGAGGATTGGGAAAATGGGAAACAGAGGAAAAACCCCCAAAAGGGGCTGATTCCTCTCCTTCCTCCTTAAACCATCATCTTCTAGCAAAAAAAGAACTGGGGGCGGAGGACAGCCCTTCCCAGAGACAACCCCTACAATGACGATATATAAGAACGTGCAGACTTGGTCCCACCAGAGAGCTGTTGTTGCACACATAGTCCTGGTCTTGCTCTGTGCGGATAGGCTGGTCTGCCTCCTTTGCCTTTAGCAACCAGAGACAAATATATCCATCTCCCTTCCTCCTGAACCATGGCAACAGATGGGGGTGACTCTTCTCCTGGCTCAGGCTGCAGCCCCGACGTCTGAGTGCCAGGGAGAAGGAGGAATGGGCACTTAGAGACAAGCTGTGCATTAATAAGTCATGCTTTCCCGGCAAATGAAAGGAGAAAAAAAATCAAGTGTGCAAGCCAGGCGGAGGCGAGTTGGAGGCTCGGAAGTCACTTCACTCAGGATCATGGGGGAGCATTGAGCCCAGGGCCAATATCTGTCTCCCAACCTGCTGCCCTTAATGTCAGAAACACCCCTTCACTTTTCCTCATGTCCTCAAGATGTTTTGGACTCTAGGCCCCATCAGGCTGGGGCAGGTGGGCGTCCTAGTTCAAAATAGCTGGAAGGCAAAGCTTGTGGCGCTGTGGGTTAAACCACAGAGCCTAGGACTTGCCGATCAGAAGGTTGGCGGTTCGAATCCCCGCAGCGGGGTGACTCGGTCCCTGCTCCTGCCAACCTAGCAGTTCGAAAGCACCTCAAAGTGCAAGTAGATAAATAGGTACCACTCTGGCAGGAAGGTAAATGGCGTTTCCATGCGCTGCTCTGGTTCGCCAGAAGCGGCTTAGTCATGCTGGCCACATGACCCAGAAGCTGTACGCCGGCTCCCTCGGCCAATAAAGCGAAATGAGCGCCGCAACCCCACAGTCGATCATGACTGGACCTAATGGTCAGGGGTCCCTTTACCTTTAAATCTTGTTTACCCTCTGAAAGGCTCTTGCCACCTTTGCAAGGAAGGGCTTCTCTCTGCAGAAGAGAACAGACAATGAGTCCTGTGAAAAACACTCCTGAAAAAGCCCACCTCCCAGCAAACTTAGAAGAGAACATTTCAAATCCTACGCTTCTTTCAGCGAGCTCTTCCCGCCCCAATTTCACACTCGCAACAACAACCCTGCGAGGTAGGTCAGGCTGAGACCACTGAGCATCACGGCCGAGGGAGAGATTTTTTGGGGGTAGGTGTTAGGGAGGTCAGTCTCCAGATCTACCAACCCTCCTCGTGGGACGCCTCCCTCCTCCTCCGCCCTGCCTCCCTCCGCAATGCCCGCCCACCCCTTTTGCAATGCAGCACGCCTACCGCGCATGCTCCGGCCTCCCTCTCCCCGCCCAGCGCACTCCCGCGTCCAGCGCCGCGGAGCTATTTATAGCCGATGACGTCAGCTAGAAATAGAACGCCGGGGCCAGCCGCGGCTCACGCGCGTGACTGATGGGCTGACGCACGGGCACGCGCCCTCCGCAACCCCTCCCTTCCCTTGCGGTCTTCTTGGCTCCGCCCACTTTGCCCGCTTTTTTACTATAAGGGGAATGCCTCGTCAAGCGTGCGCATGCGCAGCTTTAAAAAATATATATATAATATCGCAGCAAGGAATCCAACTTGCCCTCCTTTCCCTTGAGCGGCGGCGCTTTGCTCCCTGGCGCATGCGCACAGTGTCATGCAGTGAGCGTGTGTATGTATGTAGGTGGGTGAGTCTCTGTCGGGCGCTGGCCGGTGTGTGGAGCGCGCACGCGCGAGAGCGAGGGAGTAGACGTTTGAAGCTGCGCGTGCGCGAAGCAGCCAGTCGGTCCAGTCAGTCACAGAGTGCGCGCGCTCTCTCGCCTGAGGTAAAAAAGAGGAGAAGGAGGGAGAGCCGTTGCTGCTACTGCTGCTGCTGCTGCTTCTGCTTCTGAGGCGACGCCGCCGCCGCCGCCTCAGTCTCGCTCTGTCTTTGGCCGGCCCTGAAAGGAGCTTCGCCTCGGAAGGGCGCGCACAGCCCCAGCCCAGCGACCCCACCGCCACCTCGAGCCTCCGCCTCAGCCCCCGGACAACGACGACGATGAGCGACCGCGAGCAGCTGCTGCAGCGAGCCCGCCTGGCCGAGCAGGCGGAGCGATACGACGACATGGCTTCGGCCATGAAAGCGGTGAGTGGACCGAGCGAGGGGAGCCAAGAAGAAGAAGAAGGGGCTGCTGCTGCTGCTGACCCACCGCCAGACCCACCCACGGGGAGGATGAGGATGGCGGCCGCCCCCCTGGAGGAGGAAAGGGGGTCGGCGATGGTGACCAAGACTTCGCGCTCCAAATGTGTCCCCCCCCTTTCTCACCTCCCTTCTCCTCAGTCCCCCTAACCTTTAAGGCGGATGCCTTGCAATACCTGTCTCTTTTAGGTTCTTGTTATTCTGAGGCTGCCCCCCCTTTTATTTCTATTAAGTGATCTTAATAGGGTATTGTGGAAGCCTTTCTGGGGGAGGAGGGTTTCTTCTTCTCTGTAGTTGGAGCTGGGAAGAGGCTGGGAGGGGGCAGTTCAGAGGGGGTGGGTGCTATCCATTGAATCAGCTGCTGTGGCCCCTTTCTCTCAGGCCTGGTCTAGGTGTCCCCCACCCTCTCTCAGCCCTCCCTCTGAAAGTAGAAGTTGGGGTGTGGGTGGGGATCCTCTGTAAAAGAATGAACTGGTTCTATCAGTGAACAGATCTCTCCTCTCAGCCTCCCTTCTAAGGCATGCTGCCTGTTAGTCTCCATCCTATGAGAATGAGCTGGGAAAGGGGAAGGGTCTTTTAGCCCCTTTTAGTCTTCTCACCACACCACACACGTATGT